ATATATTCTTTTTTTTTTTCTATATGAATCGCATTATTACTTTTACTGTCATTAGTGTAATTATTGTTCATATTTGCCATTTTACGAGTGTGATGTGCGCGAATAAGCGAACGAACCATCAATCACTTTGTCATGCTAGTACCGTGCTTTTTTTTATAGTGCAAAAAACGGAAGTACGATTGGTGCTATTCTTTTAAATGTTCTCGTCGTCGATGTTGTTCGTCTCGTCATTATTCGCTAGTTGTTGTTGTTAGTGTCACTGCTATTGTTGCTGCTGCTGCTGCTGTTGTTGTTGATGTTGTTGGCGTTACGTAAACAAATCAACAACTCTTAAACCGTTTTCTCATTGAGTGACTGATCGATGATCGCTACTGATTTATTGATTTCATTGATATAATTGATTGATTTACTAAGCAAAGCCTTTCCATTTCCTTGTCTGCCTGTTCCTGCCCCGCTGCTCCACGTGCTCTCCATCCCCAACACAACCAACCAATCAAAATCAACCAACGTGGCACTGCAATCACCGGCACAATCACCAATCAATCAACTATCCTCAAAATTCAATCAACCCAACGCAACCAACCTCGTTCAACCACATTCAACCCAATCAACCTTCTCGCCAACAAACGATCAACAACCTTCGACCTTCCGACTCCTGCATCCCCCACAACCGACATTCCCGATCAATCAACCACTACCATTACAACCACAACCACCTATGGCATGCGACGATGATGATGATGATGATACGACTCATCCAATCACTCAATCGATCAATCAACCATCCAACCTGACCTCGTAAGGATGCCTAATTCGTCTCTGCTCCCTGATATTTCCCGACTTTGCCGTGGCTCCTCGATCACTCGCTGCAACCAACCGTCCAATATATCGACCACTACCAAATTCGACCCGCTCGCTCGCCCGCCCGCCCGCCCGCCCGCCCGCTCGCCCTGTGTCTGTTTCTGAATCGGTCAATTAATTCTTTCTCTATTAATGACCATCGATTGATTTGACCACATTTACATCTATTGCGCACACTACTCGGCACACGTACACGCACGGTATATGTGCTGTTGATCTATAACAAACCATCATTCATCGCGACGATGCTGCTCCGCGCATCGGCATGATGGATGAATCCTGTGTTTGTGTGACCATACCATATTGTGTTTGTAAACCGGCGATGTAAACGATTGGATTGTACATTGATCTCTACTGTATACGGCGATAATTGTGGTTTATTTATGCGCCGTTATGTCAATCGGGCTCCAAATGTTCAAACTTCGCTGAACAATTGTACGATTAACAACCTGCCTTGCGGAAAATAACCACCGCTTTATCAACCCCACCTATTACATGCGATAACTGTGGCTCCGTTCGCCGGTTTCTGGACAAATTGCTTTGACGCCATTCGAACTGTCGAAAATCGTTTTAAATATCGACAATGCTGCAGCATGGAGCTAGCACGAACCTTGGCTGATCCAACGGCTGGCATTCTTATGCAGTTGAGCAGCACGGCCAACTTGGCAAGCGGCCTGCCGGCGCAGATGTCCAGCGGCTTGGGCGGCAAGTCTAAAGGCGGGTCGAAACCGTCTTCGCCCCTTGGCGCCCAGGGTGGCCTTGGACGCAACGGGGGCTCGGTCAAGTTTGCGCCCTACTAAATGCTCCCGTTACAATTACAACTGCGAAATCGGCTAAGTACAATCTTGCTGCTTTAACCTAACACCGAATCCTGCATTCGACCTACTTTGTTCAGGGCGAGGAAGAGGTCGCGCTGATCATTTTTTGCGTATGTGCAGACGTCACTGTGTAATCGTAGAACGTGCCCCAATCACCGCATTTTTGCGTCCCGCCGGAGCCTTCCTACTATCGCAAGCGTAGCCCTAAGAAAAAAGATTGTAATTCCTCATCAGTGATAACACTAACTGCACATGGGAGAGAAGGCGCTCAAGGCAGATATGAATGCGTAACGGCTTTGGCTCACAGGCCATGGTAATGATAGGATGATCATCAAGCGAAGAAGCTCGTCTCCAAAAGACGCAAACAAAATACAAACCGCGAGTCTCAGGTGTAGAAGTAACGATTGTCTAATTCAGGGGCCTCAGCTGGCGGCTAACATAAGCTACGAATTCATGCGCTGATACGGATGAATCTGTAACGCGTACGTGTAAGAAGAAAGTGTAGGATCGACAAGTCAGGAAAAGAAAACGAGAGAACGACACAGATGGATTAGGAATGGTATTGTTCAGTAAAAATAATTATCCACAGACCTCAAATATGTAAGACACGGAACCACCGCTCTCGCTTATTCTTTAATACAGATATGAATGAAATGAGCGACACGGTCGCAACATCAGCAATGCCTCCTCAGTCTTGCACAGTTAAGGCAGAGTCAAGCCAATGAGGAAAACGAGAGAGAAAAAAATACGGTTTTATAATTATTATTACTACTATTATTATTGTGCAGACGATGTTCAAATATCGCTAAATGATGGCATTAAAGCTAGACAACGTCGCCAGATAGAGCTGAGGCAACCAAGTATGGGAGAACAAACTGCTGCTTAAAGAAGAAGCTGTAGAATCAGCGAGTGCGACGTTTATAAAGGTATATTATATACAGATCAGCGGTAGCAGACGGTATAATTGAATTCAAAAGGGGAAGAGGGTACAGCCGATAGAGAAGATTCAGCCAGGCGGGAGAGGGGCGGACTTTTAGCGAACAGATTTTAACGGTAACAAACTTCTATCGTAAGCAAGATGAAAGAAAATGTACGACCATATAAAAAAGGAGAGTAAAGCTATATTAAAAACAGGTGTGATGCATCAGAGGATGACATAGGAGAATGGCAAAACAAAAAACAAAGGAAGCACTAAAAGTTGTAAGCTGCTGGGAGATAAGGACCGAGCCTGAGCAAACGGGCCTAGAGTCGATTTGTTCATCTGTATATGAATACTGTTTTTGCATTGCCGCCAGCAGAGCGAACTACTGGTTATTTAAATGACCGCCAAGCCAAAGAATTGTGTAACAGATCCGCCCCTCCTAGCCGAATCAGCGTTACTTACGAGTTCATTATTATCATTATATAATGAAACTGCTTAGAAATGATTGCAGTAATGAAAGATTGTAAGGAGAAAGCCTAAGAAGACGATATATATATATACATATACATATATATCAGATATGCTGCTGAAAATGTGGGTCTATAATCAACAACATGACGCATATACAGCAACCAGCACTAGCTGTTATTATAATCATTATTTCGATTATACACATACGTATATATATATATATATATATATATATATATATATATATATACACAGTAATAATATATACTGTCATTGTGAATTTTCGTTATCACGAAAAACTTTCACCACCCTAATTACATAGTAACATTTAAATATTTATATATACACGCCATACATTACACCGCGTGCACCGCAAACGTGCAGGTAATAAGAACGTGCATCACGATCACGATACATCCACTAAAATGAGAAGTAATGATCATTTTATTCTCATCATTATTATTACTTCTGAAAGAACTTGAAATAGAAAAGAAAATGCCGAAAGAGCGCGAGGTATAGAACGAGCTAAATGATCATGCCAGATTTCCTATTCTGCAATCCTGTTTTTGCTTCTCCTTTCTCCCATTCAGTCGATATGGTCATAACATATAACTGAACATTATCCGTATGAAGGATATGGTCAGTCTCGACAGGAACAAACCAGATCAGGCAAACAGACGAGGAGCTACTTCTCGAGAATAAAGAAGTAGTTTGTGTGTTGGTGACTCCTGTCACCGTGCAATCGTAGCTTATTGTCAGTTTCAACTTAGATATTATTTTATACGCAATCATTTAGAAGCTTATCTCTCTTTGTAGTGCAGAGGGGTTCATTTTGTAGGATGATTATTATTGGTACTATTGCTACCAATGTATTAGAATTATTTATAGTCATTGTGCCTTTCAGTCGATGGCGACCCCGAATACGGCCTACGCCGTATCTCTTTGTAACCAGTCTAGCTACTTTTGTTAAATGGGTCTGATAGGTCAAATGATGCTTATGTTGCAGCTGTAACTGGTATTCTTGAAGCAAATATGGCATCGATGACCAGGAGACAGCTAAAGTCCTTTCTGCCTGAAATAGTTATAGAAGTGTTACATATAGAAATACAGACATATATAAACAAAGACACACATGGACACACGTAGACGTATCTGCACCACCAAAATAAAGTAGACATTCATACTTTTTACAGAAATTCAATTAATTTTCATGCACACAATAATTAGCAGCTTGTGATTTGAACGGTATACGTTCATGTCTGGCATATACAGGTAAAAGGAGTTGAAGAAAATGATTATAAAAGAAAAAAAAATACATACTATTTATTCCGACTTGTTCGCCAGCTCATAATGTCATTTGGCTTCCCCAAGCATCAAAACGGTAGGATCTGTCTCTTGCCGCTCACGACGATAGTAATAGTAGTCAGTGGAATTAAAAGGAGAAATAAGAAGGATGTTATTTCTGTTAGTATTTTTTGGATTATTGTAGCGTTAGTCTAATGTTTTATCGAGGGTTCGAGGCTGGCGTCTTGGAACGACATGCTAATCCTAAACCTCTAGTCAAGGGATGGCCCGCCGTTAACCGAAGCGTAAAATATCATCCTTTAGTTGTCAACAGCAATGAGCGACAGAGTAACAGAGGTCGTCTGCTCTATGTAATCTCATAAGTGGCTATACTATCCCAATTTTATGGAGGCCAGAGAATAAACAATAAGTCTATTAGCAGCGTATTTTTAGGTGTTGCAGTTCAATAGCAAATAACAGCTTACTTACTAAAATAGAGTTATACACTTGCATGTGTATGTCTCAGACTATATATATATATAATCTGTGCACATTGTAACACCACGCACGCACGTGTATTTCAGAATTGCGTGCCCTGAAATCTGTTGTTGTCACACCTGGTATACGAGTTTTTCCATCCATTATCTTCATTCTATACACGTTCTTTACCTCCTTGCAACGGCCTCCGCGCGCTGCTTTGCGGCGGTTGCCTACCGTGTTAATCAGGGATTATTCTTATTGTATTGCCCCTATTCATAATCTCGGTCTATTATAGCGCATCGCTATTGTTGAATATAATGGTGGGTGTCGACCAATGATAAAAAACAGAGCTGCAAGTAAGAAGAGTAAATAAACGACGTGAGCGTAGGACGGTCTGGCAAATATATGCCACTAATGATGATAGTGGTGATGTAATTTGTACATTAGCGTTAAATCCTACCTCCAGTCAGCTATCCCTATATGAACTGGCAAGAGAGCATATCTATGTTACAACTAGACAGATAACGTAGCGTGTGTGAGGAAGGACCAGGGATAAAGAGGCATAACCGTGTTGACATTAAGAAGTGTGGCACTGACGCGGTTAAACGGCGGGTTTTTTTGAAAATCATTCGTGGAACCAAATATTCTAGGTATGATTCAATTGAACGATATATAACTGACGATAACAATACTAATGACTAATGACCAAATGATAGTACTGTAGAGAGTTGAAACCGGAAGATCCAATCGAACAGAACAGCTGCAACAACAATAACAACAACAACAACAATAACAACAACAACAACAACAACAAAATGACGAATCTGTACTCATAAACCAACTACACATTTTGAACGATGTTAGTAACGATGATGACAATGGTGATGATAGAATCAAGGATATTATTATTGCTATTACTGTAATTTTAATGCATAATGATTGCATGGGATACTTAGCCCGATAGCGCTTGCCCGCATGAAGGAGAAGTGTTGAAAGCGATTAGTAAGACGACGAAGAAAGCTCATTTTTGGCTCTTATCACACTCAATTACATAGAGAGAGACACACACACACACACACACACACACACACGTTGACAGATAGACACTCACATCCATACACACGGACATGCACGCAGACAGACAGACAGACGGAGACAAACACACAGATATACGTACATAGATACACACATACAGAAACACACGTACATACTTACACACATATAAACTCATGTACACACATGCATATATACACACACATGTAGACATACACACACACGTAGACATACGCACACACACAGACACGTAGACATACGCACACACACACACACGTAGACATACGCACACACACACACACGTAGACATACGCACACACACACACATACCACACACACACACACACACACACACACACACACACACACACACACACACACACACACACACACACACACACACACACACACACACATAGGTAAATCGAGGCGTCTTGAAACTGTGGACGGCCATGTCACGTTCGTGAAGTGTGATACCGATGATTAGGTCGAATGGCCGCCTACATAACAGTATCCAGTAAAAAAGAAACTGATGGAATACTAAATGAGCGACAGGCAAATCGAATGAACAATTTCAGACCATTCCTACGGCAAGACGTGAACGCTATTTGCAACACAGTAGAGCTTCATACGAGTAGACAGATCTGTTGAGTGCCTTCAGGGCGAATTCATCTCGCAGATCAGCATACATGTTTCTTTGGAGGCATTTGTGCCGATTCGTGATTGATGTTGAAGGTTTTCACCGTGAAAGGCTTCTGGCCCTTGCGTTTGCTACAAGTTCATGAGAGAAGACATCAGTCCCTCAGGAAAGCAGATTCAACTAATGTCAACCATGTATTTCTAACTTGTCTCATTCCCGCTATGGACAAGCCAAAGTACATCCCGTCAGAAACAACAGATCAGACATCTGTCACAATAGCGTATTCTCTAATTCTACCACTGCTTGTTGTATTCTTTTATATTGCATATATTTAGGGACCCCAGGTGAGTTTTACCATTCCAGAGCAATCGGTGTCTGTTGGTACTGTCGCTGTCGTTCATGGTTCCGCATGTACCGCGGTCCTGAGGACACGTTTTTAACTAGACACAATTTAATTTCAACATTATACAGGATAGGTGTACGACTGGATACCTAGATTCAGTCGTATGTACGCTATTAAATTCGATACGTATAAAAATATAAGTGCTAATAATTGATTCCATTATGCTTGTTATGTTTTGAATCTTGCAGCATTCAAAATGCGCAATTACCTCTCATCTGGAAAAATATGGCCGCCGCAGCCGCGGTTGCTCCCATCAAGTAAGTTCGCCCTTAAGGATGTCTACGGCAAAAATGTGCGTTCGTACAGGTGCTCTAGGCGCGGTCCTAGCAGAATAATAGCACGCATATCCAACTGTCGTTCAATGGATGTCGTTGAAGCGTGCTGCTGCTGCTGCTGCTGCTCGTTTTAGTAAAAGTGCATACTTTGTGCCGATCGTCGAAATTCGAGAAATTTATGATTTTCGATCTTTCCACACCTTGTTTTTCATTCTCTTGCGCCCTTTGCCAATTAGAATTCGCTTTATAAATAGATAGAGATAGGTAGATAAAATGTAATACATTGCGAATATATGCGTGACACGCGCAAGGTAGTCCCTGGCACCGAACTGATTCGATAAAGATTACATCTGTATCATAACAACGAGTCTTGCATAGGGGCAAAAATGCCATACTGCATAGAGATGAGTAAAGAAAAGTGTGTTACACAGAGGAAAGGGTGATCCACCGGGAAATGAAGCTCTTGCTTCTGGGGTGGTCATGCGTCTACAGTGACGATTTTCTGAGGCGATCTATGTCGCGTGTTCACACTCTGATCAACTGACATTGAACCCAGTTTAGTTAGACGTTAGGCGTTTCGAAAGTACATAGGCAGTGCTGAAGATGGCAAAATCATTGGGTTTTAGTAACTGAAGCTACATGTACCGCATGTGGGTCGAGAAGCTGTTGTCCGTGCCGGCCTGCGGCTGTTCTCGAGCTAGTCTTCATTTGTCGTTTTTTTTTTGTTTTTTGCCTATTTCTAGCTAAAAAACCTACGACGGCAAAATTGGGAGTCGGACGAAACGTGCGAGTACCTCGTGACAGTGAGGACGGACTTGGCGACATTTAACGAGGATCAATATCACTACGGTTACCATCAGACACAGACATCTCCTCTCAACTTTCTAAAACGTTGGATCATCTGTACATTTTCTTTTCTAGACCCATACAATGTATAATGTGATGTGGCGATGCAATGCGACTCATGCAAGGTACGAGGCCGTCACGGGAAGCCACTCTCTCGTTATTGTTGCTCTCGACGATAATAATCAGAGTATCGCCGTGGACCGTTGACCGTAGGCGATTAGCAGCAATATCAACCCCAACCCAAAAACCACGAAGAGAACAATAATAACAGCAAACAAACAGCGGAGGAACAAGTGCAATGATAACAATATTAGCCGCAACCGAAATGAAACGAACCACAACCGGAGTCCAATGGGAAATATTTGAAGCTTTATTAACGACAACAAAAAATGGAGAAGAGTCGCAAACGGAAATACCGTGTATCAACTGACTACGCATGAAAGACAGCGGCGGCGGCGGCGGCGGCGGCGGCGGCGGCGGCGGCGACGTAAAAGCAAAAGGCTAATAATAATAACAGTGAAGAACGAAAGTAGTTGAAACGGAACTGGGGCGAAGATGATGCGGAACTGAAAAAAAAAGTAATAAAAAGCGAAAGGAAGCACAGGGAAATGAAACAAAAGAACATAATTATATGTCTGTAACAATTCTGTGATCTAGTGGATAGTCTCAACGTGGCGCGGGGAGATGGACGTGCTCTAATCTTTTACATTGCGATGATGATTATATTGATTGATGACAAAGATACTCAAGCTTAATACGGTGATCATATAAAGAAGTACGCTTAAAATATAATTGATGACATAAAAGAGCTAATTATAATCGATTATAATCGCCACTGGTAGATTCTCCAATCTGTGTGCCGATAATTTGCTCTCCGAAGAGATTGCGATTGCAAGAATCTCAGTGCTATATGACCGCGTCGCGTTCACTGGTCGCTGATAGATTTTGTATTGGTGGCTGTCTTCAAAGGATTCCGGTAGTATACGCTCAACGCATTTGCTTCTCGTTCGACTAAATAAAGTTTGCCTAGAAAAGTCAAATGCTGTTGCCATAATTGATCTAGAGAGTGTAGCAAAATACGTCGTTGACTCAGCGGCCTTGACATTGTCGGGCGACGATACGGCGATTCAATCCTACTACCGTATGCATCCTGCTTTCCCCCGTGTACTACCCATATTATTTACAAATATGCCTATATGTACCTTTTGTAAGGCCTATGCTATCTCCTTCTATGAAATATATATGCAAGCTGCTATATGCTCATTGCACTATTGTATTATGCTTTAGGCAGTTGTTGTTGACTCCTAGCTACCGCTATACTATCTAGTGAACTTGAAACGCATCGAACCTTAGGCTAACGGCGACACGGTAACTACGCCTGGCGACACGGTCACTACGCCTGGCCACCTGTTTAACTCCTAGCTTCATCTTGCTTTCGCACACCCTGACCCAGTTCTTGATACAAGCTGACACCAGATCGTCACTATCTGCCAGTATCACTGTATGTTAACCACAGTATGTCTAACGGATGATTACGGGGATGTGTGGCGGTGTCCGCCTCTCCCTTCTCTCTAAATGGCAAACCAGCATTGATACGTCCAGCGATTTCTATTAATATTCAGTTATTGTTATCCCGTAGTTTGACGATGTCGGAATAGATGTCAGCGGATACCCTCACGGGATCGTTTGCGAAACGATCCTTCGGATGCCCTGTGTCGCGTCTACCCGCCAGACAAAATCATTGTTCTTCTTGACGTAACCTCACATTTACTAGGCAACAAATACAACTGGTTGACGGAACTCATGTATCAGTAGGTCGTTATATGACAACTATTATAAGCTTGTACTCTTTGCCCCGGTGCAATACCATCCCCCGCGCTTACGAGCCTATTCTAGTCAGCTTTTCTTCTGAGATCAGGGCATTTACAAAGTCTATAATAAGAATGAAATATTTAAATGTATGAACTGATGACAATAATATGACATGATTATGTGAATAGCGTGACGAGGATGGTGACTATACGTGTGGAAATATTGATAAGAAGACCTGTCATACGAACGACTGATAATTTATTTGATCAGTTTCTAATTAATTACCGTTGTTATTATTATAACGATGCAGCACCGTGCTTACTGATGTGCTGTCGTGCGCAAAATGCACGTAGCCACGCAAATAGATTGATATTGATCGAAGTGACGATAATAAAGGGCAAGAAAGGAACACAACTCGAAAAGTAGCATAAGCTCGGAAAATAAGGACAGGAATTTACAATATGTATGACGAGACAGTATACATATATATACACATACTATTCCTATTATAATTATTTTTCAACCGGCGATCTATCCATCCAGCCACCCAGCCAGTACCGTTATATTATAGAGTGCATGTGAAGAAGCCACCACGCAGCGTAGGAACATGTTTACGGGCAGAAAATTATGTTAAGCTGTGATTAGAAGTAGCTAACAAGGAATTCGTATAACGAGTGAGTTAGTAGTTGTTCTTTGAATCAATCGTGCCCCAATTATATTCGAACTAATGGCTCAAGCCATTGTATTAAGATAGGCATATTGTTACTGTGTGGTGTTAGTAAATACTGCAATAGAATAATAGCGAACACCGTGAAAAGTGTACAATTATATAAACAGCAGCAAAAAAAATTACTTCAAGCGCGTGTTGAAAGCGGTAGCGTTAAAATTGCGACAAGTTCCTTTAATCGTCTCAAAATGTTTTGTTCATTCGAAAAATGGCGCCCACAGATACGCAGATGGGCATGCGTCGACAAAAGCGGGCAGACAGAATAAATACAGGCGCGCAAATGAAATCAAGCGGTGTCGCCTGTGGACATAATAGTGATTGGCATGAAAATCGAGGTATAGCTCTATGGTACAATGCCGTTGACTCAACAACCGTAAAAGTTTTCATAACGTGCACGTCAATCGAACAGAAATACTAGTGCGGGCAATAATAATACCTAAGAAATCATTCATATGTGAATACACAAGGTGATATATCATACTCTGGACTTGTAATGATATTGTAATAATACTATTAACGATATGTCTATAAGCATCGGCGAAGCTAGCGCCACGGTTGAACCAATCGTAGTACAGGATGGTAAACATAACTGATTGCGTTGCATAAGCGTTGTGACCTCGGAAAAAATGCTGGTAGATCAGACGTAACTGAGAACGCAGTAAGTGGACAAACGGGATGCGTGATCAGCCCCGCCATATAACTGTTCTTACGATGTTACCCAAACAACTGATCCTCGTAGACTTCGAAGGCTTATGTCAAACGAAGATGGTGATTGTCGATGTTAACTTTCTTACTTGTCTCAAAAAGATTATGGTAATAGTTAGAAAAGTAATCGATCGATATCAACAACAGCGGTAGCATAATAATAGTGATATAACAAAATTAAGATGGAAGTGTGCAGTCGAAAAGCATAATTGTGTTCGAGTGTAACAATTCAGTTGATACATGGGCGGCCAAGTAGGCCCGACGGCACTTTTTCAACATATCGCGTATTGTTCCAACGTACTGAGGAGCGTCACGGGGCAATTTATTTAATATACATGCGTACACGAACATATCATCCATCTCTAGGAAGGAGACGAGCGCAACGTCCCCGAACAGGGTTGCCTTCTTTCGCGATAAAATGCAGGCATATCATTTCGTCACCTCCTTCCCTTTCAGGGTATTAGCGATCAGCGTGTGATCCACGCCGATCGCCGGGGAGTTGGGGCGACGTCGAGAAGCTGCGCATTCTTAGGGCTCAGCGCTCATTTCATGCATTGCGTTGCATGCACAGCTCGTAGAAGTCTGGGCATGTACTCGCGCACGGTATAATCGTTGGTCTAGCAACACTGACCGTATATATACAATGACGACGGGATTTGAGAACGATGGAGCGAACGAGTAAAGAGCTTGGAATTGATGAGGTAATCATAGACAAAGCGAATGGAAAAAGGCAGTCGATTATAGGGTCATGATAGAATGGAGGCAATCGCGGTGATCAAGGATAGAAGGACGACGACGACGACGACGACGACGACGATGATGAAATTCAGCCAAATATTCTTCGGCATTAGGGCGACAAGGCGGTACCTGAGCAGTTTTTAGCTAAGGTCAAGCCTCGTCCGCTTTGCAACACAACAAAACAAAACAAAATAATTGACAAAAAAGCCAAAATGTCTTAGGAGATGACGATGGACGATGATAACGCAGGGAAATTTTATGGGTTTAGGCTTTAGTCGGTGCGATATGAAGGAGTCTTAGATTCTAAACGACAATTAGAGGTGATGTCGACAGACATTTACACATATTCATGCTGCAGTGACACAAAAATACAGGACATTAGCTGTCATCAGGGTTCGTGACAAAAAAGAGATACACTAATTACAAGAAGAACTAATTATTCCTGTGACAAAAATTGTGTAGGACACCGAGCTGAACATTTACTAATTCGAAAAAGCGACTGATATTATCTGCTGTTTAATGGGTTAGTCATGAGACTCCGAAGTGAAACCCACGCTATTCGGCTGGTCCTGAAAAATATAATTCCCAATTAAGTATAGTAGATTATACTCTACACAGGAAATTCAGCAATATTTAGATGGTGTCCTTGTCGCTCTCTGAACGAAAGTATGCGAAACTAACTAGTTCTCCTTCACACAAACTTGGGACGTAATATATATATATATATATATACATACATATATATATATATATATATATATATATATATATATATATACATACATATATATATAAATCAAGGAAGTGAAAGTGTGAGCGAAAGGAAGCGTGTAAAAGTGCGTGAGAAATAGCGAGTGTGTGCGAAGTAAACCAAAATATTGCTAAATTGTAACGTGTACGTGTAAAAAGAGCTGCGAGATGGATAAATAATAGTAACCCACCTAACGCGAAGGCAAAGAAAGGTGACTGGGTAAAGTGCAACGCGGACGAAATTAACACACTACGTGCGCGGCCATGCCGGATGTAGTAGCGTAAGAAACTGATGATAACAGATAGACAAAGAGATAAGAAGAAAATTACGATTATTGTAAGAAATACTAAAGGAGGATATAATCCGTGTGGAAGGCACGCACTTGCCAGCGATCAAACTAATCCTTATTGCTAGCGACGAGTTATTTATTCTAGAAATAAAAACGAGTCTTTAATCTAATCTTATATCTTATTGAAGAAGCAGAGACAAAGAATTCTTCGATTCTAACATACAAATACACTCACCGTTAACATCACGGGGCAAGCGGGTCGAAAACTGGGACTTCCATATGAATGTACGGTGAATCTGCTATTGACAACGGCGATAATGGAGATGATCATTTTTGTCGTTATGACTACTATAATATCAAATGGTAAATATCTCTCTACCCATATAAAATACTATCGAAGATGATGGAATTACCACAAGGATTTTCTTCATGCCGATTATGATCATGACGAAACATTTCTGTAACCGATTCCGGTTGCTCCTTCTATGTTCTTTGTATTCAATACATCCACTCCTTCTCTCGTACCGTACCAAAAAACATATATGTTTCACATACAGACACAGACACACACCACAAACACACACACACACACACACACACACACACACACTCACGTAGACATATACAAACATACACAGACACAACCTGACACAAACATCACATACATGCCATCTGATAGTAAAATGATTAATAACACACAAAACGTCATTCTAAAGATGAACCCACTGCGGTTACTTGAGGCCGTGGGGTATTACGTATTTAAAGATTCCTCCAGTAGTAGATTTATGATGAATATATCTCTTCGTATTTTGAACTTGGCGGTGCTCAGGGTAGGGAGAGACGTCATTCATTTCCGCCGAGTGGCCTCGCCCGAACGGAACGTCTACAGAAACTGAATAGAGGGAAACAAAAAAAAAACGAATAAAAGCATTGCTGATGAGAAGAAACCGTGGAAAGTCGCCCTTAGCGGCAGTTCCGATTGCTAATACCCCCTTGCAGGCGCCGATTACCGATACCGCTGCAACCTAACGAAAACCTAACCAGATTTTTCGTCTGGCCTCTGTTAGGACTCTAACAAAGTAGAAAAAGGCGATTATCAACCCGAACACGGGAATGGCTCGAAGATGGTTAAAGCTACTATAGGTAGGTCCCTCAAGCGATCTATCCTGCAGTAAGAGGCGTCAAGTAAGGGTAGTGATAGGTACATTTCCGCGACAGTTTCTTGACGTACCTCAGGGACGGCGCCGACGGAAACTCGGTTCAGCCCGTCACTCCTACGGCGAAATACACCGCCGCGCGTGTCACAACAATAACAAACTTGCAATATAATAACAACTATTATAAACATTAATATCTATTGTGGTCGTCAGCCGATGGAATGATCATTAGTGGGTCATCGTCAATCTCAATTGCATTGCACTGATATGGCTATTCTGTTATCATGACGAAAACGCGCAACAAATCACGTGTTTGTTGGACACCTTAGAAAAACTTGTTGTTATTATTGGCAATAATGATACTAATTATAGGAAAGCATTACCAAATTTACAAAAACAATAACAGCAAACCAGTTAGTAAACAAGCACACTGAGACGAAGTCGCCACGGCAGCAACAGAAGCAGGAGTAAGCTAACAATATACATGAGAGGCGTGCAAATAACCTTACAAATCGCAAACGTACATGCTCGGCTGGGTAGCAGAGTAGCCGATATAGTAACAGCGTGCAAAGAAGGGAAATATTCGCCTTCTAGATGCAGTTCGTCGCACCCGGTTGCGCCGCGTAAAAACACGATCGTGGGCCGCTGTTGAAGCGGTAAACATATCGAGGAAAATTATTGATGGACGAGCGCAGAGTGGGAGGGTAGTCGACCTAGCAGTAGACAAACAGGTCCCGTCGACTCGATAGGGAAACAGGCGGTTCTTAACGAGACACCAGACGGATCTGTACAGTAAGGAAAAAGGCGGCACAAGAAATTAAGGAATAAATTCTACCTTCAGTCTTTTGCTGTGTGAAAACGACAAAAAACATTGGAATATTGATAACAATGATGATGTGATCGATGAGAGACAACTGATGATTGATACAAGCCGTGTATAAGATGGTTAATAGTTGATTGCACTAAAAACGAAACATATCATCCGCTAGTTATGGTAATGATGGGACTAGGGAAGCTACTATGTGATTATTGTGCTGGGAAACGGTGAAAGCAGGTAGTCAAGCTCGGCTCAATTCGATCTTGTTGGCCCAGATGCCGCCCATCTATCGCAGTGTGATGATGAGCGTTGTACACGATCACGGCGGGACCGAGCACGCGGTGTTGTTTCTATAGCGATTGTGTTTGCGATGAGATTTCTGTTCGGCGGTAGAACTGCATGTAACTCTATCAGATCATTTATTTATATTAAATATTGAACTGTGCTATTATCGATCAACTGAAATGGGCCGGTGGTTTCTGCGGGAATCGACGCAACACGTGTCGCCGTGACGAAAAGGATTAAGCCTTTTATTTTCAACACTCTGTCGTATTATTCGTTACGCTATTCTACGAGCTAGTCTGTTTAATAATATGGATAGCAGTTAGTGTATGCGTGCGCGACTGCCTATGATCATGTTTGCCCGTAATGCTGGATTTATCATATGAAACAATCTTCAACAGCGTCAATATCTGTCTCAATAAGAAATATACGACGACTCGTCGACTGTCGCCTCATAAAATGAGATGGAACAATAACAACAGGAAAAGCAGACACAACAGAACGCAAAACTTAAATAGACGGAAAAAATAGATCAAGAAATAAAACGCCAAAAATTTTGAGCGATTATTATATTAATATTACTAAAAATATTATTATTATTATTATTATTATATAGTCAAATGCTATTTACAGTTAATATTTCTAATAAAGTATTATCAAGGTGGAATCTAAGCTAAGTTGTGTTTATTCGTTGAATTACTGTGAGTGTTATATGCAACGCTGTAAGGGTTTGATAGCGGCTCTATTCATTCGACTGTCGGAAGAAACTATTTTTTGAGAACTGCGTGTTGATAACAGGACACTCTGTGTTTGTTAAGGCATAGGTAAATCGAGGCGTCTTGAAACTGTGGACGGCCATGTCACGTTCGTGAAGTGTGATACCGATGATTAGGTCGAATGGCCGCCTACATAACAGTATCCAGTAAAAAAGAAACTGATGGAATACTAAATGAGCGACAGGCAAATCGAATGAACAATTTCAGACCATTCCTACGGCAAGACGTGAACGCTATTTGCAACACAGTAGAGCTTCATACGAGTAGACAGATCTGTTGAGTGCCTTCAGGGCGAATTCATCTCGCAGATCAGCATACATGTTTCTTTGGAGGCATTTGTGCCGATTCGTGATTGATGTTGAAGGTTTTCACCGTGAAAGGCTTCTGGCCCTTGCGTTTGCTACAAGTTCATGAGAGAAGACATCAGTCCCTCAGGAAAGCAGATTCAACTAATGTCAACCATGTATTTCTAACTTGTCTCATTCCCGCTATGGACAAGCCAAAGTACATCCCGTCAGAAACAACAGATCAGACATCTGTCACAATAGCGTATTCTCTAATTCTACCACTGCTTGTTGTATTCTTTTATATTGCATATATTTAGGGACCCCAGGTGAGTTTTACCATTCCAGAGCAATCGGTGTCTGTTGGTACTGTCGCTGTCGTTCATGGTTCCGCATGTACCGCGGTCCTGAGGACACGTTTTTAACTAGACACAATTTAATTTCAACATTATACAGGATAGGTGTACGACTGGATACCTAGATTCAGTCGTATGTACGCTATTAAATTCGATACGTATAAAAATATAAGTGCTAATAATTGATTCCATTATGCTTGTTATGTTTTGAATCTTGCAGCATTCAAAATGCGCAATTACCTCTCATCTGGAAAAATATGGCCGCCGCAGCCGCGGTTGCTCCCATCAAGTAAGTTCGCCCTTAAGGATGTCTACGGCAAAAATGTGCGTTCGTACAGGTGCTCTAGGCGCGGTCCTAGCAGAATAATAGCACGCATATCCAACTGTCGTTCAATGGATGTCGTTGAAGCGTGCTGCTGCTGCTGCTGCTGCTCGTTTTAGTAAAAGTGCATACTTTGTGCCGATCGTCGAAATTCGAGAAATTTATGATTTTCGATCTTTCCACACCTTGTTTTTCATTCTCTTGCGCCCTTTGCCAATTAGAATTCGCTTTATAAATAGATAGAGATAGGTAGATAAAATGTAATACATTGCGAATATATGCGTGACACGCGCAAGGTAGTCCCTGGCACCGAACTGATTCGATAAAGATTACATCTGTATCATAACAACGAGTCTTGCATAGGGGCAAAAATGCCATACTGCATAGAGATGAGTAAAGAAAAGTGTGTTACACAGAGGAAAGGGTGATCCACCGGGAAATGAAGCTCTTGCTTCTGGGGTGGTCATGCGTCTACAGTGACGATTTTCTGAGGCGATCTATGTCGCGTGTTCACACTCTGATCAACTGACATTGAACCCAGTTTAGTTAGACGTTAGGCGTTTCGAAAGTACATAGGCAGTGCTGAAGATGGCAAAATCATTGGGTTTTAGTAACTGAAGCTACATGTACCGCATGTGGGTCGAGAAGCTGTTGTCCGTGCCGGCCTGCGGCTGTTCTCGAGCTAGTCTTCATTTGTCGTTTTTTTTTTGTTTTTTGCCTATTTCTAGCTAAAAAACCTACGACGGCAAAATTGGGAGTCGGACGAAACGTGCGAGTACCTCGTGACAGTGAGGACGGACTTGGCGACATTTAACGAGGATCAATATCACTACGGTTACCATCAGACACAGACATCTCCTCTCAACTTTCTAAAACGTTGGATCATCTGTACATTTTCTTTTCTAGACCCATACAATGTATAATGTGATGTGGCGATGCAATGCGACTCATGCAAGGTACGAGGCCGTCACGGGAAGCCACTCTCTCGTTATTGTTGCTCTCGACGATAATAATCAGAGTATCGCCGTGGACCGTTGACCGTAGGCGATTAGCAGCAATATCAACCCCAACCCAAAAACCACGAAGAGAACAATAATAACAGCAAACAAACAGCGGAGGAACAAGTGCAATGATAACAATATTAGCCGCAACCGAAATGAAACGAACCACAACCGGAGTCCAATGGGAAATATTTGAAGCTTTATTAACGACAACAAAAAATGGAGAAGAGTCGCAAACGGAAATACCGTGTATCAACTGACTACGCATGAAAGACAGCGGCGGCGGCGGCGGCGGCGGCGGCGGCGGCGGCGGCGACGTAAAAGCAAAAGGCTAATAATAATAACAGTGAAGAACGAAAGTAGTTGAAACGGAACTGGGGCGAAGATGATGCGGAACTGAAAAAAAAAGTAATAAAAAGCGAAAGGAAGCACAGGGAAATGAAACAAAAGAACATAATTATATGTCTGTAACAATTCTGTGATCTAGTGGATAGTCTCAACGTGGCGCGGGGAGATGGACGTGCTCTAATCTTTTACATTGCGATGATGATTATATTGATTGATGACAAAGATACTCAAGCTTAATACGGTGATCATATAAAGAAGTACGCTTAAAATATAATTGATGACATAAAAGAGCTAATTATAATCGATTATAATCGCCACTGGTAGATTCTCCAATCTGTGTGCCGATAATTTGCTCTCCGAAGAGATTGCGATTGCAAGAATCTCAGTGCTATATGACCGCGTCGCGTTCACTGGTCGCTGATAGATTTTGTATTGGTGGCTGTCTTCAAAGGATTCCGGTAGTATACGCTCAACGCATTTGCTTCTCGTTCGACTAAATAAAGTTTGCCTAGAAAAGTCAAATGCTGTTGCCATAATTGATCTAGAGAGTGTAGCAAAATACGTCGTTGACTCAGCGGCCTTGACATTGTCGGGCGACGATACGGCGATTCAATCCTACTACCGTATGCATCCTGCTTTCCCCCGTGTACTACCCATATTATTTACAAATATGCCTATATGTACCTTTTGTAAGGCCTATGCTATCTCCTTCTATGAAATATATATGCAAGCTGCTATATGCTCATTGCACTATTGTATTATGCTTTAGGCAGTTGTTGTTGACTCCTAGCTACCGCTATACTATCTAGTGAACTTGAAACGCATCGAACCTTAGGCTAACGGCGACACGGTAACTACGCCTGGCGACACGGTCACTACGCCTGGCCACCTGTTTAACTCCTAGCTTCATCTTGCTTTCGCACACCCTGACCCAGTTCTTGATACAAGCTGACACCAGATCGTCACTATCTGCCAGTATCACTGTATGTTAACCACAGTATGTCTAACGGATGATTACGGGGATGTGTGGCGGTGTCCGCCTCTCCCTTCTCTCTAAATGGCAAACCAGCATTGATACGTCCAGCGATTTCTATTAATATTCAGTTATTGTTATCCCGTAGTTTGACGATGTCGGAATAGATGTCAGCGGATACCCTCACGGGATCGTTTGCGAAACGATCCTTCGGATGCCCTGTGTCGCGTCTACCCGCCAGACAAAATCATTGTTCTTCTTGACGTAACCTCACATTTACTAGGCAACAAATACAACTGGTTGACGGAACTCATGTATCAGTAGGTCGTTATATGACAACTATTATAAGCTTGTACTCTTTGCCCCGGTGCAATACCATCCCCCGCGCTTACGAGCCTATTCTAGTCAGCTTTTCTTCTGAGATCAGGGCATTTACAAAGTCTATAATAAGAATGAAATATTTAAATGTATGAACTGATGACAATAATATGACATGATTATGTGAATAGCGTGACGAGGATGGTGACTATACGTGTGGAAATATTGATAAGAAGACCTGTCATACGAACGACTGATAATTTATTTGATCAGTTTCTAATTAATTACCGTTGTTATTATTATAACGATGCAGCACCGTGCTTACTGATGTGCTGTCGTGCGCAAAATGCACGTAGCCACGCAAATAGATTGATATTGATCGAAGTGACGATAATAAAGGGCAAGAAAGGAACACAACTCGAAAAGTAGCATAAGCTCGGAAAATAAGGACAGGAATTTACAATATGTATGACGAGACAGTATACATATATATACACATACTATTCCTATTATAATTATTTTTCAACCGGCGATCTATCCATCCAGCCACCCAGCCAGTACCGTTATATTATAGAGTGCATGTGAAGAAGCCACCACGCAGCGTAGGAACATGTTTACGGGCAGAAAATTATGTTAAGCTGTGATTAGAAGTAGCTAACAAGGAATTCGTATAACGAGTGAGTTAGTAGTTGTTCTTTGAATCAATCGTGCCCCAATTATATTCGAACTAATGGCTCAAGCCATTGTATTAAGATAGGCATATTGTTACTGTGTGGTGTTAGTAAATACTGCAATAGAATAATAGCGAACACCGTGAAAAGTGTACAATTATATAAACAGCAGCAAAAAAAATTACTTCAAGCGCGTGTTGAAAGCGGTAGCGTTAAAATTGCGACAAGTTCCTTTAATCGTCTCAAAATGTTTTGTTCATTCGAAAAATGGCGCCCACAGATACGCAGATGGGCATGCGTCGACAAAAGCGGGCAGACAGAATAAATACAGGCGCGCAAATGAAATCAAGCGGTGTCGCCTGTGGACATAATAGTGATTGGCATGAAAATCGAGGTATAGCTCTATGGTACAATGCCGTTGACTCAACAACCGTAAAAGTTTTCATAACGTGCACGTCAATCGAACAGAAATACTAGTGCGGGCAATAATAATACCTAAGAAATCATTCATATGTGAATACACAAGGTGATATATCATACTCTGGACTTGTAATGATATTGTAATAATACTATTAACGATATGTCTATAAGCATCGGCGAAGCTAGCGCCACGGTTGAACCAATCGTAGTACAGGATGGTAAACATAACTGATTGCGTTGCATAAGCGTTGTGACCTCGGAAAAAATGCTGGTAGATCAGACGTAACTGAGAACGCAGTAAGTGGACAAACGGGATGCGTGATCAGCCCCGCCATATAACTGTTCTTACGATGTTACCCAAACAACTGATCCTCGTAGACTTCGAAGGCTTATGTCAAACGAAGATGGTGATTGTCGATGTTAACTTTCTTACTTGTCTCAAAAAGATTATGGTAATAGTTAGAAAAGTAATCGATCGATATCAACAACAGCGGTAGCATAATAATAGTGATATAACAAAATTAAGATGGAAGTGTGCAGTCGAAAAGCATAATTGTGTTCGAGTGTAACAATTCAGTTGATACATGGGCGGCCAAGTAGGCCCGACGGCACTTTTTCAACATATCGCGTATTGTTCCAACGTACTGAGGAGCGTCACGGGGCAATTTATTTAATATACATGCGTACACGAACATATCATCCATCTCTAGGAAGGAGACGAGCGCAACGTCCCCGAACAGGGTTGCCTTCTTTCGCGATAAAATGCAGGCATATCATTTCGTCACCTCCTTCCCTTTCAGGGTATTAGCGATCAGCGTGTGATCCACGCCGATCGCCGGGGAGTTGGGGCGACGTCGAGAAGCTGCGCATTCTTAGGGCTCAGCGCTCATTTCATGCATTGCGTTGCATGCACAGCTCGTAGAAGTCTGGGCATGTACTCGCGCACGGTATAATCGTTGGTCTAGCAACACTGACCGTATATATACAATGACGACGGGATTTGAGAACGATGGAGCGAACGAGTAAAGAGCTTGGAATTGATGAGGTAATCATAGACAAAGCGAATGGAAAAAGGCAGTCGATTATAGGGTCATGATAGAATGGAGGCAATCGCGGTGATCAAGGATAGAAGGACGACGACGACGACGACGACGACGACGATGATGAAATTCAGCCAAATATTCTTCGGCATTAGGGCGACAAGGCGGTACCTGAGCAGTTTTTAGCTAAGGTCAAGCCTCGTCCGCTTTGCAACACAACAAAACAAAACAAAATAATTGACAAAAAAGCCAAAATGTCTTAGGAGATGACGATGGACGATGATAACGCAGGGAAATTTTATGGGTTTAGGCTTTAGTCGGTGCGATATGAAGGAGTCTTAGATTCTAAACGACAATTAGAGGTGATGTCGACAGACATTTACACATATTCATGCTGCAGTGACACAAAAATACAGGACATTAGCTGTCATCAGGGTTCGTGACAAAAAAGAGATACACTAATTACAAGAAGAACTAATTATTCCTGTGACAAAAATTGTGTAGGACACCGAGCTGAACATTTACTAATTCGAAAAAGCGACTGATATTATCTGCTGTTTAATGGGTTAGTCATGAGACTCCGAAGTGAAACCCACGCTATTCGGCTGGTCCTGAAAAATATAATTCCCAATTAAGTATAGTAGATTATACTCTACACAGGAAATTCAGCAATATTTAGATGGTGTCCTTGTCGCTCTCTGAACGAAAGTATGCGAAACTAACTAGTTCTCCTTCACACAAACTTGGGACGTAATATATATATATATATATATACATACATATATATATATATATATATATATATATATATATATATATACATACATATATATATAAATCAAGGAAGTGAAAGTGTGAGCGAAAGGAAGCGTGTAAAAGTGCGTGAGAAATAGCGAGTGTGTGCGAAGTAAACCAAAATATTGCTAAATTGTAACGTGTACGTGTAAAAAGAGCTGCGAGATGGATAAATAATAGTAACCCACCTAACGCGAAGGCAAAGAAAGGTGACTGGGTAAAGTGCAACGCGGACGAAATTAACACACTACGTGCGCGGCCATGCCGGATGTAGTAGCGTAAGAAACTGATGATAACAGATAGACAAAGAGATAAGAAGAAAATTACGATTATTGTAAGAAATACTAAAGGAGGATATAATCCGTGTGGAAGGCACGCACTTGCCAGCGATCAAACTAATCCTTATTGCTAGCGACGAGTTATTTATTCTAGAAATAAAAACGAGTCTTTAATCTAATCTTATATCTTATTGAAGAAGCAGAGACAAAGAATTCTTCGATTCTAACATACAAATACACTCACCGTTAACATCACGGGGCAAGCGGGTCGAAAACTGGGACTTCCATATGAATGTACGGTGAATCTGCTATTGACAACGGCGATAATGGAGATGATCATTTTTGTCGTTATGACTACTATAATATCAAATGGTAAATATCTCTCTACCCATATAAAATACTATCGAAGATGATGGAATTACCACAAGGATTTTCTTCATGCCGATTATGATCATGACGAAACATTTCTGTAACCGATTCCGGTTGCTCCTTCTATGTTCTTTGTATTCAATACATCCACTCCTTCTCTCGTACCGTACCAAAAAACATATATGTTTCACATACAGACACAGACACACACCACAAACACACACACACACACAGCACACACACACACACACACACACAGCACACACACACACACACACACAGACACACACCTACAGAAACGGTCGATATTCATCACATGATGAGTGTGATCATCGCTATCTTTTTTTCAGACCATTTGCAGTTGTGACCAACAAACATACACAATTCATTGTTTTTTTTTCGGCGCCTTAGTACGGAGACGGGATATAAGTACGTTTGGCGACTGGTTCGATTCCAATGAAAATATTTATGATGAACTGATAAAAAGCAGACGAACCGTTAATGAAAACAATGTCAACGTCCACAATAAAAGAAAAGCCAACTAATTATTATAACAGCTAGAACAACTGAAGCATTTGCGTGACAATTTCGTTGTTTTTTTGTAATTAAGATTTGACACTGAACGTATGAATATTATTATTATAATACGCTTATTGAAAAAATATCTATTAACGACATTATTATTGTGGAGATGACGACGATACGAGGGATGGCGTTAACATCTACTCAACTTTAGAACAACTCAAGCCGTTCAAAGGGTGTTTCGGCCATCAAAGGCCACATCCGTCGGCATCTTGAAGCAATCATAAGTGAGAATAAAATAAACACACTGATAACAATAATGATGACAATAATTACTATATCAATGGGTACAACAACATAACAAGAACGTAACCATAATGCATAATTGCGACACTACAAACACAAACATCAACAGCTAAATGATTGACAAAGATTGCGCACGTTTTACAGAAACACATATTAATACATAAGTAAAAACAAGCTAGGTAAAAAAATATACATGATGTATTATCATGAACACACACAGAGGAATAGGCGCACACGGGCGCCACACGTGGAAGCAAAAACCAAACAGCAAATACGTGTACTTTTACTAGTTGTGAAACAGGAGCAAGCAAGCTCGGTGACTGAAGAGGCCGATGGAAACAAACAGAAAAAAAGAAAAACGAAATAAATAAAGACCACATAAAAACAACAACATTTTAACATCAGTAACCTCGCTCCGAGTATCCGAGAACACTACCCTCCTCTAGGCTGTGATTCGGATACATAGGTTAAGTGACGGAACTTTGACGACGAAGAGAATAAACAAACAGCAAAAGAAGAAGAAGCAGGAACGACGCTCAACAAGGCACAACATCGCCTTCCACGAGGAAAGGGAGAAGCTAGATATGAAACAGTGAAATACACACACGTATACACACACACGTACGCACTGAAGGCGTCACATGGCCATCTGGAGACCGGAGTCGGTAATCGCGGGGCCCCGTATGGAACAAAGGCTTGGTACAAGGCTCCATGCAACCTTATCAAGTACGCAGCGGACAAATACAATAACTTCAAGGGGTGTAAGTTAGACAAGCACGCTAGAAAAGAAGAACGAAAGATTAAATACGAGATCGTAATTCCCTTAGTAAAGATACGTCACAGGAGGGAGCAGATGTACCTAAGAGGAAATGACGTCCACGTTGTTTCCCACTGATCAACAAACAGGCGCACATCTCGCAAATATCAACCAAAAGAGGATGTCAAACAGCAATCTTGTCCTTCTATAGTAATTCACCCTACCTCTCGTACTCCTGAGACACTTTAAAGGGGCCGTCTTCCATGGGGGGCCTTCATCACCGACTGCGGTTTTTTTGCGCAGGGAAAAAAGGCCGACGATGAACAAACAAACAGTCAGTCCTTGAAGGGAAAGTTAAAATATAACGCAACTCTAGAGCCATGGGCGTGTACGGTGAATGTCTGACTTGGTCTGTCAATAAATCGTGTTGCTCGATTTCAATTACTGGATTTTTCTTTATACCTAAGGGTTCATATCTGCCTGATGGATATTCTAGGCAAGTTGATTACTACCAGTAGCTATATATATATATATATATATATACATATATATATATATAATGCTTGGGTTTACGGGGAAGAAAGTTAATTAAGGTTGTGCCAGTTAAGAGGAAGTTTAACTGGCTTAGAAACCTGCTTTTTTCCTGTTTGCCTTACTAAGCGCTTGCATTGCGACACCCTGACTACAAAAAACGAACTAACTGTAACGTCTGCCTGCGAATGGAAACATTTTTAGGAACGTCTTGGGAAAACATTAGCGCATAGTTGCGTCTATTCAATATGCTGATAAATCTGAGTTAGGTATTTTTGCTAGATTACTTGACCAATCCCACTGTTTTTATTAATAGGAAGCTGATAATTTACGATTAAAAATTACCTCTTTTATCCATAAGCCATATATAACTAGACATTAGGTTAGAGCTGACAGTTTAAACGCTAATGTTTTTAGCATTGTTTACCTCCAAAGCGAGCTTTTACCTATAATTTTAGGGTACATAAGAGTTTCCAGCCAGCTTTAGAGCTTTGGAATAGTAAACAAAAGGAAGCTTTGTACCTGTTTGGCTAGTACTCCACTGAAACTTGTGTGTGACAAGTCTCACGTAAATACTTGTATATTATATATGTAAAAATTAAGCTTTTTGTTCGTGTAATTCTCGCAGTTATGGTGCACATAATATTCAATTATGATTTGCATGAACAGGGACGGTAGTACGCAATTGCTGCATAGGGCAATCCTCTCGAACATTTGCCAGACCCGTACGGAAACATTTTTTCATTTTCTGGGAATATTGAACTTGAACAGCTCGGAACTTGATCGGAAGATAGCTATTGCTAAAAATACGTTAACATTTATACTGCCAGCACCAATTTAACATCTAATTATACGCAATTTAATCAACAAAAGACGTCTACTTTTATAGAGAAAAAAACAGCAACAAAAGCTAGGTCTAAATGTCGGGAAGCGCCAATTCAAAAGCCGCAGTGTACAATTCATGTGAGCTATGCAGAGGTTTTTTTACAACGACGCATATGGGTTAAATCACTATTTGCACTTAAACAGTACTTCTGTTTCGCTATTATCTAAATTTTGAGTGCGTGACGTCTGTGAACGTCTGGAGGGCTTAGCTTCCTTCCAGCGTCCGAACCTAGTTGTACGGGAAGAACTTGGCAACATGTGTCTTTTCAGAGATGCGGACGCGCCCTACATACTAAAGGTATTACCTCGTAATCCCTTGCAAAAGCCTACAGTGTTTGTACAATATAGTGATTGCTGTTGACCTTTTTTTGCATCGCCTAGCTCAACAAAGAATAGACAATGTACATGTACAGTAAGTAGTTTTCCGGTTTGCAGAAGAGACAAAACGAGACCGTCTGAGCAGCTTGTGTGTTGAAGATCCACCCCCTCACTCGCTACAAAAATACAAGGTAATACGTTGACTTCGGCGAGGTGCGTGGCGTAACGTGCACGCGGTCATTTGCTACTCCTGGCACCAAGTGAACACCCACAAAAATTAAAAACTTCTTTCCCCTACGGTGCTCGTTATGGCCAAAATTCATATGAGATCATGAAATCATGAAAAATGCAACGAGAAATATTCATGAAGCAAATCGAAGGATCCTCAATTAAAGTGGTAAAAAATTAATTGAAATAGCTGGAAAAGCCATTCTTGATAGACCTAGATTTTTTATGCTGAAGTTTAAGGTTGCTTTGAAGAAAAGAATATCTCCTAATTCTGTCGTCTAGAGAAGTTCCAGCAGTTCGTATGTCCTGATTTTTAAGCCTAACGCAAAACTTTCTTGCCAAACAGGCCCTTGCATTTGCCGTACTTTCAGCCTGTCATCAGCCCAAGGTTTTATTTCGCCGAATTTTTCAACATGTAGCATATTTTAGCGGTACTTGAACGAGTTGAACTATCTCTTGACGCACGATTACTACTAAAAACTATTTGCAGATTAAGGGAGGGACACTTTAAAAATGTCTAGTGAGGGGTTTGAATCAAAAAATCGAAATTAAAATTGCAATAAATGGAGACTACATTGAGACTTTTCTTTGCTTCAAAAGAAAATTCAGATTATTCAGCGTGCTTTGAGAACGAGTTTGAACGTGCTAGAAGTTATGATATGCTAGAATCCATTACTGGCGATTAGTCGTTTAGTTTAGAAAAAAAAAAACTGTGACAAACGAGCCCACTTTACCGTGCAATCCTCAATCAACAGCAGAACCAAGTCTGCAATTTCTTTTTTTTTTTAGAGAGGGTTTGAGAAACAGAGTTTACGTATGACCAACATTACAAAGGCATGAAGTTTATTTTATGAAGACCGATAGTGAGGTTTAGCCTTTCTGGTTGGATTTGCTCCGGTCGGGACAACTATTTACGAGTTCTCAATGTTTCTCTTGAGGTTCATTCCGATTTAGCCCCGATATTCAACAGTACTATGGACTGACAAAGAGGTGAAGATGATTCCATCGGATCACCAAGCTGGGGTCACGCTGATCAGATTCTTCAGCGCCAACAAACGAGTTAACTTCCTGTACAGGACTACGACCTTATCCTATGTTCCCTGAACCCGACAAAACATCGTCTGCCGTGTTGTCCAGCCATAACTTTATAAGCCTTTGTTAGAAGCTGGCATATCCTTCAACGCTCTCGTGATCGCATGGTTATGGGTGTGGACCTTATGCCATTTCCTAATGACACTCCCTTCTGTTAGCTACGTGTTTGTTTTAGTATATGTAAGCTCCATACAAATCGCCAGCATGTGGCGTGCCGTATCTTCCAGTCTCGCATTTCAGAGAGCACAAGTGCCCGAAGGAGGTTTATTGATTTTGTGGAGCTAGCTTTAGAGAACTTCGTGAACCATGAAATAGCAGGTGACTTCTCCACCGGGATGTGTAACCCAGGTTTTTAGATTAAGGATGATGTCCCTTCCTGCCGCTCCCAGAGCTGAGTATTGCCTCCTAATATTGTTGTCACATTATCAAGGTTTTGCCTTCCGTGCCATGCATTATGTCATGCCATACCATCCACCTTTTTTCAGTGCTAAGGTTTCAGGAAACGATGCTTGCTAAGGTTGCAATCTACGGGTCTAATACAACGAATCAGGTTGAAACCTTGTAAATCTCGTTTGTAAGGTGAGAATGCAATTGGTTTAATTGGTCTTCAATTGTCGGAAAAACGCAAAGTTCTATTAGGTAATGTTTTCTTTAGTTAACTGAAGATCCTGCAATGTATATATAGTAGGGTTTTTTATTATACAGAAGGAGCTTATTTAGCATCTGCTGTATCGCTAACGGCCAGTTAATTTCAAATCAAATCACAAATGGTCCGCAACGTTCAGTTAGGTGATATGCGATCTTGGTCTATCAAAATCCAGACCAATCATGAGAAAATGATCGTCATCCAAAAACGCGTTTGACGATTACTATCCAGATGATCCCGAATCTTTATTCTAACTATTTAACGAAGTATTAGTTACTTCGTTAAATAGTTTCTTAATTGATTAACATCTATTCTCTTCATTTTTTTTTTCATTCAACGGAACGACCATGCATGAATCCTGCAACAATACTTCATGAACCTGCGTGTGGGGGGCGGACCCTTTCCCTGTTGTAACAAAATAATTTATCGGCTTCGGGGGTTCTGGAGCACATGGACGGGCACAACGACTTCCATCTGCATGCCTGATAATTCGCATTATGAGCTTTCGACTACCGGTTTAGGCTGTCTATCAGGACGAATGAGTTTTTTTCAAATGTGTCATTTCTTTGTCGACAATTAGTCAGTTTACAATACGCCTCTTAGCTACTGCCTGTATATGTACCGTTACGCTAAGAATTGGGGTCGATTTAATATTAAAAGTGATAAGATAACATGGCTAGATACGACAATAACTGCATTATTTCATTTTAGGGTGTAAATTCCTCATGTATGGCGTAGCCTACTGCTATCCTTTGAAGTGTGAGTCGTCATTTTCTACCTTGAACAAATATTCCTATCGTGTTTCTATCTAGCAGGTTAGACTAGACGGCCAGGACGTATTTATTTTTCGCTTCGTTTTGATAATAGTAGACCGTGTGTAATATATTGCATCGGAAACACTCTTATAAAAAGCTAACGGGAAGGCAGTTTCTGCGGTGAGGAAATACTCCATATTGCGTATTATCTTGTTTGTTGGAAAAGATTATTCAAAGCTGTGCTACGTCTCAGTTTATTGCTTTACATAACTTACCTGACTTGACTAGGGAAAACAATTGATGTGTCCTATTAAAGCACCTTACACGATAGCAAAATGTACATAATGACACTTTACATTGACCCTTGTGCCTGATTGACTATCATCAGCATTGCACGTTTGTCATTTTGTACCAGCCCACGATCTAACCATCTGGCGGTCATTGACTAGTCTTTTTTTGCATTATACATTACTGCTTGTCTCGCAGTAAATGTACAAACGTCCCTATCTATATAGCTATAAGAGTTGCGCAAGGTGCATTGATTTGTTTATTTTTAGCCTCACCTCTATAGGCAATCGTGTGCCATTCGATGCTTACGCCAAATAAAAGATAAACATTTATTCGCTGATCACAATTTTATGTATGGTAGTGTGGTCAATAGATGGGAAGGGTTTGTTCTGCATGGATGAATCATTCTTCCACAAGGCTGAGCACTGCTTTCAATCACTGGATGTTTTCACGCCTAAGTTGGACATTCTAGTGGACACGGGTACCCAGAATATTTTATTAGGTTTCTCTAGTAACTGAGATCCTGAAATATACCATCTATTTTTACATGGAAGAACTATACCCCCTCCCAGTAATAAGTTGTTAGGGTTTTTACTGTAAAAAAAAAAGAAATTAAGTCAGCTCGTTAGTTACCACTGTATTTAACAAAACTCATACTTCCATATAATGCTTATATCGGGCTAAAAATTATAATCGTG